TTTCTTTGCCCCTGTCTGTCGTTCTGTGTATGTCTTACTATTGTCTTGCACTAAATGACTAATATTGTTTTGATGTGCTTCTTTCGTATTTCAACTAAATTTAGTAGTCCACAAAATTTTGTAGAACTTTTTTGGGTGAGGCATGTGAAAACGATTTTCATAGGGTACTTGGGTCGTCCAATTTGAATCTGATGTCGGATTTTCCTTTTTGGGTCTGTATATTTATCAGGTACATCCTTTTTAAAACTTTTTTTGTGGGGGGAGGGGGGCGTTATCGCTTAGATTCATTTTAACACTTACCACTAAAACCTCACTCGCATGTATGAGTGTCAAGAATGCAATTCTGTGCTGTAAAGTTCCATTCAATACGAAATATAATATTTTAAAACATTGTGGGTGGTTGGTGGGTGCCCTGGTGTGGTTTGCTCCTTCTTTCCTACCAAACATAAATAATAATAATGGATTGCATTTATATAGCGCATATCCACTTATGCAATGCTCTATGCGCTTAACATGATACATATTATGGATTTACAAATCAGTTTTAAAGGTACATAGTGTTACATACTCATGCAAACACATGTTCACTCACGCACGCACCACACACACACACATACATACACACACACATACACACATACGTACATATGCACATACGCACATACAAACTCACAACGATCTACAGCTTGGATGCATTCTGTCTAATCGAAATATGATGAAAATAGAAATGATTTTAGTTTCTTCTTAAAAATTTCTAGATTTTCTGCTTCTCTTATAGTTTTTGGAAGCCTATTCCAAACAAGTGGGGCAAAATATGAAAAAGAGCGTTGGCCATATGATTTGTATTTTATTTTAGGCTTAACAAGGGTTGTTTTGTCACTTGATGATCTGAGTGTTCTAGGAGGCACATAGGGTGTTAAAAGCTGTTTTAGATAGTCCGGTGATAAATCATTTAAGCACTTGTAGCAAGTTAAACAGATTTTATATATGATACGCTCTTTCACTGGGAGCCAGTGTAATGCTTTTAAAATAGGAGTCACATGATCATGCTTTAGTTTTTTAGTAATTATTTTGGCAGCAATATTTTGTACTCTTTGTAGTTGTTGTAACTGTTCATCAGGTACACCAGCCAGTAAGGAATTGCAATAATCAATCCTTGACAATATAAGTGATGTTATTAAAGTTTTGGTGACACCAACAGATAGATCTATCATCTATCATCCTAATCTCTCTTCCTTCCTTTTTGCGTTTGTTACTCTCATGTAACAGCTCTATTCTTTGGCACTTATATGACCTTATTGTGTTGCAAGTGCCGTAAAACTCTTACTAACTTTTAAAACCGTGTCATTAATGCCAGCTTGTACGTTTTGGTGCAGATGCTAACTGGCTTCTTTTTTTTTTTTTACCCCTAGGGAACTCCAAGAGATTATATTATGACGAGCAATATAAAGGCTGGCTGGTGTATTTGTTTTGTGTGTAGATTGTTTGGGTTATAGAGAAACATTCTCTTGGTGGAATGACGGGTGCACTGGTGTGGTTTGCTCCTTCTGTCCTCTATAAATACTGTCGTCTTTATCTCTCCTTCTTTTTTGTGTTTGTTACTCTTGTGTAATATCTCTAATCTCAGTTGGTGGTTGGCGGGTGCTCTGGAGTGGTTTGCTCCTTCTTTCATATCAAACAACTGTGGTCCTTTTCTCTCCTCCTTCTTTTGTATGTTTGTTACTCTCTTGTAACATCTATAATCTTCGGCACCTACATGACCTTATTGTGTTGCAAGTACCGTTAGACACTTACTAAAACATATGACAACAGACGCGAGAAACGCCTACATGCAACAATAGTCTTGTTAGTGCATGGGAAAAGACCGAAGGGTAGATCGAAACTTGACAAGAGGACAGGAAATCGGAATCGTATACCACGTGTTTTCAACCACCCACACACCCCGCTTTACGCTTGTCCGCGCACACGTACTCAGGCTCAACACGCTCGACACACATACGCCCTCGCACGCGCATGCTCACACTCACCCGCCCCCACACACACATATTACACTCTCTCTCACACACACACACACTCTCTCTCTCTCACAAACTCACCCCACACACACTCAGCCCCCCCCCCCACCCCCCACACACACTCTCTCTCTCTCTCTCTCTCACACACACACACACACACACACACACACACACACTCCCCCCCTCCCCCCCCCCCCACACACAGGGCTGCACGTAAGACATATTTGAAGCCACTCCTGGATTAGAAAGATACACAGAAAACGACCATTTTCTGGCGGTTTCTATTGTCTCTTTTGAAAGATATGTGAACTCATGAATTATGCGAGTTGGTATTTCGGCCGAATGAATTACTTGCTATAATAACACTTAAATAATGTCCCTAATCGTTCTTTTGTGAATGGATTTTGTGCAAAAGCTAGAATAAGCTCGGAAGTGTTTGCTGACAGTGCGGGCTAGATACTCTACTTAGATCTAACCATCTTTGA